TATAAGCCATAAAATTTGAAAAATTATCGTTGATTTTCATTTTCGCCATTTTTTCGGGAAACCCCTCGTGAATTTTGAAGGACATGCTCTGCAGAAGAACACCATCGAAGTAATGACTTTATGATGATGTTATTTTGAAGGTACATTTTAGGTACAATTATTATCAGCCATAAAAATTTAAAAAATATCTTTGAGTTTTATTTTGGCTAGTTGACCGGCAAATTGAAGTACCCCGAAATTTGAACCTCAAATATTAGCCAAACGAGTAAGGTACAATTAAAAATAAATTGCGGTACAATTAAGTACATTTTTGGTACAATTATTTAAACCTAGTCCCCAGTTTCGACTTTCACATGTGCGGACATTCGAATATACATCCGAATTGGAAACCTATTTTGTAAATTTTTATTGAATATTCATATTTTCACCTGTGAAATGAAAGTGATTTCATTACATACCAATCTACGTCTCTTGCTTACATTATTCGTTATATTGATAAAGTGGTTGTTCGTTGATTGTCGTTGTTTTATTCCCTAAAAGAGAAATTTTTTTAAAAATAAAAATGACTATTTTAATTCGATTACATTTTTTGACAAAATCTCACCGTTGGGTAAGTATAGTGCTCTTCATTTGTGTGTTCATGTAAAGCATCCATACTACGAAACGAACGACTGCACAATTTACAATGATGATATTCATTATCAGAATCCTCATACGGATGTCTTTGCATTGTTGGCATTGGCGTCAATAGGCCATCAGCATCTTGTTCAACGCATGTCTCGGGAGTTTTGTCACCAATCTGTCAAGTTTATCAAAATGATATCATATTTACTATATGAAGTATCTTATGCACTGATAGGCACACTTACAATTGATGCTTTGCTTGGGTATTCTTGTCCTTTGCGAAGCTCTGGAAACCGTAATTTTGAATGCATCACTTTACAGTGATCACGTAGTTTGCCCACAGCATTTGATTTGAATTTGAACGAGCACTTTTTCCATGGGCAAAATTTATACGGTGTATTTGCGCTTTTCAATGCAATCTATTTAGATATAAATTTGCGTGAGAAAATAAATGTATAAAGTAAATAAATTTTTTGCAATATTACCTGTTGAGTCTTGGCTTTTTCAATCATGTTCATGCCAAGTCTGTAGGAAACATTTTGATTTGGATGATATCTCTTGAAATGTGCATGCAAATGTCTCTTGTTAAATATGCTGAAGAAAGGTTTATTGCAAATATCGCAATAAACTGAATATTTGTCGGGAGTGCCTATATCGTCATCATCGGCCTATTTAATATAACAAATAAAAAAATAGCATAAGGACTCAACAATCACTGCAACCTAACTAGAACTCACACTTTGCTTTGCTTTTTTATAGTTTTGGAAATAGGGTATCTTTTCTGTGAAATGCACTCTTTCATAATGCCGGATGAAATCTTTTTTGTTCTTTGATACAATGGGTTTCATACATATTCGGCAGAGAATTGATTTGTCAGCATGTTGTTTCTTGTAATGAGCTATTGCTTGAGCCCGAGTTTTGAATTCCAATTTACAACTAAGAACAATGCAATGCATAATGTTTCCGGGGTAATGCCATGTAGTCTCAATGCCGCATCCATTGAGTGTGATCAAATCATTTTCGTTATTTTTCACCATCGATGTCTGAAATACAATTTTTTAATTAAATTGAAAATATATATTTTTTGTATACTCACACTTTGCTTTGCTTTATCATGGAAATAGGGTATCTTTTCTGTGGGATGCACTCTTTCATAATGCCGAATGAAAAATTTTTGGTTCCTTGATACAATGGGTTTTATGCATATTGGGCAGAGAATTGATTTGTAAGCATGTTGTTCCTTGTAATGAGCTATTGCTTGAGCCCGGGATTTAAATGTCAGTTTACAACCAGAAACTACGCAATGCGTAATGTTTTCGGGGTAATGCCATTTAGTTTTATTACCGCATCCATTCAGTGAAATCAAATCATCTTCGTTATTTTCAACCTTTGTTGTCGGGAAGGTATAAACATTTACGTTTTTTAATTGAAAATATAAATGGTTTTTTATAAATATTTGATTGATTTTTTTTTGTACACTCACACTTTGCTTTGCTTTATTATGGAAATAGGGTATCTGTTCTGTGGGATGCACTCTTTCATAATGCCGAATGAAAGGTTTTTGGTCCTTTGATACAATGGGTTTTATGCATATTGGGCAGAGAATTGATTTTTCAGCATGCTGTTCCTTATAGTGATCGATAGCTTTCTTGTGAGTTCCAAATTTCGAATCACATCTGAGAACTATGCAATGCTTAATATTTTTGGGGTAACGCCATTTAGTCTGAATGCCGCATCCATTGAGTGTGATCAAATCATCTTCATTATTTTCAACTATCGATGTCTGCATAAATAAAAATGTAAGACGTCAGTAGATATTTAAATATTAGGTTTCTCATCAATATTTACCGTTTGATTTGTTTCTGCAGTTTTTTCTTGAATATCTTCTGTTGTTGTTTCCATTTTTGATATCAAAAGACACACTCAAAATTTGTCAACAGTATTGATGAATCTGAAAAGAAAAGAAAAGAAAATGTAGTTTATAAAATAGCAATTTCCCATTTCATGTCTAATCAATATCTATCTATTGTGTTTGAATTAAGTAAAACCGTTCATAATTTTCTAAAAAATGCACATTTTATTCAATCGATAATTTCGGTTTTGCTTAAACAAAAAATTGATTCAATTTTAAGATTCTTCAAGTTTGAGTTCTTCAACGGTAATTTCGTCTTTGACAATAACGTTGGTGCCATCCGACAGTCTATTTTCCTTCTCAAGTTTGACCGAATTTCCTCCTACAAAGCTTGAAACCAGATCGGCTGAACTTTTGTATTTGATTTCGATAATTTCTGATTTGATCAAATCTAACGAAATAAAATGAAATCGAATTAAAAAAATAAGGTTATACATTCATGAAAAAAAAAAGTAAACCCACTTGGGTCCAACATCTTATGTTGGTTAGTGGATAAATCCAACGGCTCATTTTGTGATGTAGGCAGTGATGGCTCTTCGTCGATATCTGTTGCAACGGTTCCTTGTTCAGATTCGGAAACGGTGTCTTCAATTGAAGTATTTTCCATTTCCTGCACAATTTTCAAAAATTGCGATCTCATTTCTGGCTCCAACGAGTTGGGATTGTCTACGATATCTACTAGAGAAACCACAGCATTTAGTATTGGTGATATGCCTGAAGTTGTCTGTTCTTCCCTTGATGAATCGACAACCATATCAATGGAATCGTCATTATCATCATTTTGATCTTTCTCCGCCTCGTCCACGTTCTAAATCAAGGAAACATGTTAAGAATAAAACGAACAAATTAATTTAATTTTTTGTTTTTGCAATGCACACCTGCATAGAATCTTCTGTATCCTTCCATGGAACATCTTTGTGAACCTCCAACCAATGTTCCTTTAAATCTTCTCTATTTGCTAAAATTGTTGAACATACTTCACATGATATGCCATTCCTACAATGAACCGATCTGTAATGCATGACGGTCGATTTTCGTGTCGAATAATTGCGATCACATATTGGACAGGTGACCGATTTAATGAACGGGTAAACTTTTGTATTGCCATATTTTGATCCAGTTTTTGAAATAATCGGAGCTATAATCTTTGATGTTGAAGTTGGAGTGCTTGAGCGGGAACTAGGAGTTGAATTACTATCGGCTTCAGTTTGTGCTTCATCTTCGACCTAAATTGATTAAATAAAAGAGAAAAAATGAATTCAGCGACTGTTTTTTTCTTATGATTTTCATTGGAAGCACGGTGTGTGGTATTTACCTGCATTGATTTTTGTGCTTTGAATTCGACAAATTTCAAGTGTTCGTGAGAGCGCGCCCAATGCGATAATAACATTGCCTCCGTACGAAATCCTCTCGTACAAACCGAACAAATTTCAAATTTTATTCCATGCTCATCGTTGAAATGGTTTAGGCTGTCGACTTTCTTCGTGAATTCAAGCTTGCAGATTGTGCACATATTCATATTAAATTGATCGAATAACTCCTTTGAATAACCAACGGCACGTGATGTTTTCAAATATAATGGCATAACGGTGGTTGGATGCTTCGATTTGAAATGGTATGACATAACTCGTGTACTTGTGACCAACATGTCGCATTCAGGGCATATTTGCATTTCTTGTGGATGATTTTGATTGTAATGCATCAGAGCAGCCTCTCGAGTTGGAAATTTCTTTATGCACTTCGAACATTTGTCAAAATCAAGAGTAAAACAGCCATTATCCTCATCATTCTCACCTTCTTCGATATCAATGACCTCTGATACAATTTTTGCCGGTATAACCGGTGATTTGGCCTATTGAAAAAGATTATGTATTTAGTTATATTCAAAATCGTTGTTTTTAACTCACATTTTTTTCACGCATTCTTTCAAACATTTTCAGCAATGGATTATTATTACTTTTCGAGCTGTCATTTGTTGATTCTTTCTTATCCTCTTTAAATTTTTTCTTCGGTGTTTGGTCGATAATGTCTTGTTCGGATGCACTTTCTTGTTCACCATCTGTGCTATCTAATTGTGACTAAAAATTTATATGATAACATGATTATGGTATTTGATTCGTATAACAATAATCACACTCCTATTTTAACTTACTTTATTGAATTTTCGACGAACTTGAAGTTCTGTTGGAAGATTTGCTTGTGGATGAGCATTACTGAAATGTGCACGCAGTTTATAAATGTTACTACATCTTGTAAAACACTGAGGATGCGGACATTTCACTGTTTCTTTGCGATGAACATTTTGAAAATGTATTTTGGCACACACATTGCTCGAAAATACTTTTCTACACACCGGGCATTTATTTGAGTTGAAAGTGATAGCTGGCGGCTTTGATCGCAGTTCAGACACAGATTTGATTCTTGGATAAGATGTTATTTCTGGTATCTATTTTCACGAAAATTAGATGACATTAAAATTTACATTACTATCTTACTTATTGAAACGCCTAGTAATTGCATCAAAGTTTATTTACCGTTTCCATCTTCTTCTTCTTCCTAATGCTAGGAGTGGCTTGTTTGACGTGTGCTTGAAAGTAATGGATTTTCATTCTACCATCTGATTTGAATTCTTTGTTGCATTTTGGGCATGCTTTTGTTGTTTCTTCGGCGTTTGTCTGAAAGTTAATATACATTTTCAATTGATTTTATTCCAAAGAGAGATGTTTATTATACATGCTAACCGAAGAAGTACTTGCACTCTGTCGATCAGCATCAGTTTTATTCGATTGAACATAATGATTTTTCATCCAATGTATTTTCATCACACGATTAGAGATGAACACTTTTCCACAATCAGGACAGGCAGTTGCCACTTTTGGCTTCACTTTTACTTTGAACTCAGTGTTCGACGATTGTTTCTTTTTATTTTCTTTTTGAATCTCTAGCTGTACAATTGAAATAGCATATAGTTTAGAGTCAAAAGAAAAAAAAATTGCAATTTTCTTACCATTCGATCAGCGCTAATTTCGCCATTTATACGATGTTTTTTCAAATGGACAGCTAAATAAACATTTTTCTTAACCATTTTGTGGCACACTTCACACTTTGTTGTCCAATCCATATGAACACGACGGTAATGTAACGCAGCGAACATTCGTGTAGAGAACGTTTTGTAGCATTTTGTGCATCGATTCGATGTGGGTGAAGCATTTTTACGTGTTTTTGGTGATTTGGGAGATCTTGGCGATTTGGGTGATTTTGCTTCCGAACTGTCATGTTCCACATCCAAAGCGACAATTTCTTCATTCGTTGACTTTGTTAGTGTACATAAAATCAGTTTAAATAACAAATTCGGTCATTTCATTGAAGGGAAAAGAACTTACAGTGGATGGCTTGGTCACCTTTTTCGTCGCCGTCACATGTTTGCTGTTCCAGTGCGCACGAAAACGTTCCTGATTCGAAAATTTCAAATTACACTTGAAGCACTTTACAACACTTTGTGAATGTTTTTCTTGCTCATGTTTTTTCAGTGTCTTGGAACTTGTGAAATTTAAATTGCATTTCAAACACTTTGTATCGTTCCCGTTATCTGACATGATTGCCTTTAACCACGTTTTTGTACTTTTTTTTCATACACCACTTTATTTTTCACTTGCTTTTTTTACCTTTTTTGCGGATTCCAAATTAAATACAATTTTCGAAATCAACATCAATAAAACAATTTTTTCACATTTTTTCATCAAAATAAATGATATCAAAGTAATTGGTACGCAAAATTTAAACTAAAACTGTACTCAATGTGAAATAAAAAATGTGTTTCTATCTGTATTCACTGCGTAACTTGAATGCCACCAACCAAATGAACGAGTGAGTGTGTTTGCCTGCGTCAAATCTCTTTCACGAATATTGAATATTTGTATTGGTGAGCATTCGTCACGTTTGTGTGGATATATGTAAGACGATTTGCGAGGGAAAAGTCAGCAACAAGTCGAAACACACGAAAGCCATAAAATTATAAGCAACAAAAAAATAAACAATAAGAATTTTTGTTCCGAGTCAGCCGGTTTGTGCTGCTCAAACGACACAACAACGAATACAGCGTAGTAGAATGTATATGAGTGTTTAAATGTTGCTCCTATATAATGCAGTTAAAAACACACACAACGAATGGACCAAATCATGAAATGTTACATGTATTGAAAGAGCCAATGGAGAGAAAGAGAGCGACATTGAATATTTTTTGTGATGGCGAATATTCATGAGTTAGACCGAACATTTTTTCGATCGTTTTGACGGGTCAATATTAAATAACGAGCGACGGTTCGCAGGTATAATATGACCGCAGAAATTGAAAGTAAAGTATAGAAACTGGTGAAAACGAGAAAGAATCAAATGTAAACTGCTATGTTTGTGGTTTTCAGACTTCGTTTTTTTTCTTTTTCAGCTAAATTTTTTTGAAATACGAATGTTTACATAAAAATTGTTTTGCTCTCGCTAAGAATCGCACGATTTAAACACGTTTTTGGTCTTTGTTTATTCGATTTTCTTTTACACTATTAAGAGCCAAAGTAATGCACACTATTCCCCTCCTGATCACACTGATCGTTTAATATAAATAATATTGATAATGAGTGTATTTTTCTGAGAATTGAAAGAAGATAAAAAAAACACAGCATAAGAAAAGCAATAACTGTGTCTTATTCTTAAAATACACTAATTTCAACGGTCTCATACTGAGTTTTGCACTATATAGGTTTTACGTTAAAATTTATTAACGGAAATATGATTTTTTAACAATCAATTACCTTTTTGTTCGATTTGTACTTTCGTATCAATAGAAATGCTGTTCTGTTTGTTTTGTATGTCTTACACCACGAGCGTAGAGAATAGAAGTGAGAAAAAGAAACTCATACAAAGTTTCCGAAGGCAAATATTTTAAAATGGATATTGAAAGTAGATAAATTTCCTTCATTGATGATGCACAAAGCGAGAATGTCATTGATTATTTGAAACTCCAAGAAAATAAAAGAAAACAAACACCCGAGTGTTGTAATAGTGCGAAAGGATAGAAAAACAGCATGCGACGAAGAAAGGAACACAGAATAAAACAAAAATCTGTAATAAAATTTTATAGCTTCAACTCTCCATTTAGAAAGTTGCATCTTGTTCTCTTTTCACATAATGGGTGCCGGTTTATTGCAGCATGCATACTTACTTCCAAATAGATGACCATATGCAAGCAATTCTCTCGTTTTTATCTTCCCGCATAGTCTGGTATGTGTGTTTGACCATGTAATTTTGTTTGGAATAAATTTGATGGCACAAAAATCGTTGAAAATGTGAATCTAATATCTTCATGTATACCGAACTCACTTGAATGGCACAAAACAAACACCAACAATTTTGAACGATCGAGTTTAATGAATGTAATGCACACAATCTAATTTACAAAACGCAAAATATTAGGTTTTTGAACTTTTTCTCGCTGCTTGCCGGCACTGTACTACACACAGTTCAATTTATGATACTGTTGCATGTACACTTCGATTATGCTCGATGCGATGCGATGCGATGCGATGTGCCGCATGCATGATAGTGTGATACGGTATGGTCAGCAAATAATTGGTTGAACTTTTCTACCATAGAAAATCTGATTAAAATTTAATCGACTGGGTTGATAAGTAAACATTTTTTTTTCTCCGAGTGGTGCATGCATGTTTATTTGCGCTTATGTTTTTAAATCAACAAACCAACTGGAAGGTCTTGTTCATCTCATTTTCAAGCAATTTTAATTGCCTTGATAGTTTATTTAGTCGAATATGGAATATAAATATAAATCCGATTCACGAGAAATGAGATTTTCGTTTAATTCTTTATGTAAATACTCTGAATAATAATAAGTAGTTTTTCCTCTGTCATCATATTTTGCTGCTTTGCTTTTAGCATTAGAAACGGTAGATTCCAAATTCTAACATTAGCGCCTTAAATTCGATCTAAACGAAATGTAATTTGCATAAAACAAATTTGCAGCGCACCAAAAGGAAGAAGAAGAAGAAGAAGAAGAATTGTGAAATTTAATGCAATGAATAAGATTTACAAAATAATGTGAATTATTAACGCTGCCGAGTGAGTTGATTGCATAGTTTTGAAATTGAATCGGTGCACGGTGCGTTTGCATAGTGAAACAACGTGATTGTCGAAGTTTACCAATGCAATTGAAGCAGGGGAGAGAAGGGAGACAACAAATGTGCATTATATTTCATAAATTTAAATGTTCTAAGCTGTTGTAATGGCAATAATAGTAATTATAATTGTGCTTTGGCATTGTTCGGCACAATAAGTAAGTATGTTTGTGTGTGCATTTCATTGGATGTATTCCAAGTGTTCTCCCCATTTTCAATATATCACTTAATTCGAATTGTGTGCAATGAGCAAGCATTAAAATCGCAATGATAGCACTTGCGAGAATGCACAAAATACCATCATATATTGTGAAGAAGGAAGTAAACGAAGCAAATAAAACAAATAGAACACGATGAAAACTTATTATTGCTGGCACTCAAGTCATGTCTTCACAAGCAAAACTGCAAACTCCTTCGCAAGCACACACACACACAACACGCCAACCTACTTGCGTCATACTTATTATTCAATATGCCAGCCAAACAATAAACAGAAGTTTACATAAGTAGTTTTGTATTATTTGTAATTAAAACTAATGTATAATTGTTTTTATGTCGGCCTTTTTTATGCGCATCAAATGATCAAATGAAGTAGTCAGACTTGAATCCACGCCGACACATTGGAACTGTTATGCTTTTGCCGTTGCTGTGTATGTATGCCATTTTCGATTCGCATTTATTTGTATTTACCAAATTTGGCATGGTGTTTGTGTTCTTTTGCATTTTCTAATATTACTTATGCATGTGTAATTTTATTCGAACAAATTCAAGTTGAAAGGACATATATACGCAGTGCCTCTTATATGATTGTTGTTGGTGTTTTAATGTATTCGAATTCGGGATTTTGGATGCTTGTAACTCGTAATTTGCATCACATATGTTCTTAAGTAAACTACAAAATGTGGTCTACCGCCGGCAGAACTATTTTGCTAAATAAAATGGTCGACAACACATAACTAATGGAAAGCAACAATTACCCTACAACGCATTCCATTATACGAATGGAAAAGGTTCGACGAGGCCACAGTGAAAGTAGAAAAAATAATGAAGGAAGCGAATAAAAAAAACAAAACCACAAAAAATAGCCAAACAAATCGTCTTCTTTGGGTCCGAAATTCTGAATAGCAACGGTTGGGTTTCTTTAACAGCAAGCATCCGTGAACGTTGAATAACAAAACGCTGCTGGAGATGTACTTGAAATCGTGCATCTGTAAATGCAGTGACAAACAAAATAAAACCATATGCGGGGAGGAAAATGCACGGAAACAAACGAACGGATAAAACGAAAACTTTTCCACACATGCATTTATCGAAATAAAGAGATTAGAAAGTATAAAATACGCTCGAGTGATAGCAGTAATAATAATCGTTATTGTGCATCGTACTAAACGGAACCAAAATTCTACTCGAAATTGGTCTGTTGTCGCCTGTTTGCTCTCTACAGTGTTTACAATGTTGTTGAGACAGCAACCATTATCAAATCGCTGAAGAAACGAAAGTTTCTTTTAATGCCGTTTAATATTAGTTACGTGACCGATATTTGTGCGATTTTACTAGTTGGATACTTGTTTTATATAGTATGCACTTGTTGTCAATAAAATGTGGCGCTTCCGATTTTACAGAATTGAATGAAATCACGAATATTGAAATGCCATTGAAAATGTTTTATGAAAAATGTCCCGAACATTTTTCTGCCTCGTTACAAATACTTTATTTGAATTGAAAATTCATATATAAAATGGTTCGCTCTTAAAAAAATGCACTTTTGTCCGAAAGAAAGATAAATCTTGAAAAGTCATATCCGTTGGAATGTGCAATCATAATTGAAACTAATAAACTAACTTTTGATTTGTTTCGGGCGATATTGTGCTTGCATTACCATAAGTTTCTTCATTCATTTCGAACAAAAATTATACATTTTTTCACTCTTAAACTTGAGCAGTTTTTTGTTTTGGATTTATTTTCAGAGAATTTCACATTCCGTTCAATTTGTCGTGTCTCGTGAACATAGTAATACAGCAGACATTCTGAAGAAATTTAAAATTTTTCATTAAGCGCCTGCAACAATAATAATTTTTTTAGATTGAAGAGAGTCTTAAGCACTGTTCAAACTTTTGATTATTATCTTTACAATTCAATCAATGAAATGATCTATCCAGAGCGGTTCAGTAGTTGTGAATCAAATTGAGGAATGGTACGCATTCATTGTTCACGAGAATCACTCTTCATTTTTGATATGTTTTACTTTTTGCAATTTCATTGCGTGAATTAAAAAGTTTTTTTATGCTTTTAATCAAGTTTATTGGCATTGGTTCTTAAAATGTTGGCAAATACAATCGCTCAGCACAAAAGAGAGAAACTGAGACACGGTAGTTGGGAAGTTAAAAACAAAATGAATTACACAAAAATTTGTTCGTAATTTGGCTCTTCACCAAAACAGAATGTTCGTTGCATTTTTGGCGTGTTCGATTTCCGCTTCTGAAGCTTCGAGTATTCGCGTCGATAGTACTAAATTACAACTTAATTGAAATTTAAGATTTGAAAGAAAAAATCGAAATGTTCCGAACTTTTTTTGAAGAATATTGAAACGGAAATCAGTTCTTTTGAATAAGTTTTGTACATGTCTACAAGTCAAGTGAAGAGCATTTCTTATAAAAGTTTTTTTTTTTTTAATTTTAATAGACGAATTTACTATGTCTCATTGTGTGAAGTGATTCCACGAAATACTTGGATACATGAATACTTTGAATCGGGTGCCATGTGAATGGAACTGGGTGTGGATCTAGGTGTGGATTAATCCACATCAAAGTCTTTCTATTGCAATCTCTTAAGCTTTAATTGAAAATAATTGTATAAATTATTCATAACATGAGTTATATCAGTTATATCATGGCACTAATTTAATAATAAAATAATATAATGGGATTCAAACGACAGCAATGGTAATGACAATGTCGATGTTAAAAGTCACTATGTATGTGCTATGTTTGAATATTCCATCACTAGAAACACCTATAGCTACAAAGTCAGTCCAAATGCCGTTGGTTCGTTCGATGGGAATAAGAACACAATGTTAATGACACATGAGAAAACTTTATAAAAGTGAGAGTGCATGATTTATTTCTGTTCAGACCCAAAATATTCATCAATAATAACGCACCAGCCAGTAGCGATGATGTATGAAAATGAATTTTGTATCTATGACGAATTCGCGAAACCCTTATAAATTTTATGATTCCGAGGCTGTGATATGTTCTTGCTTCAATTAAAAGCAAACACATTAGTGGTAATCTATATATGGATTCAATTGTAGATTTTCAGAATGAATGTGAGAAGCGATAAACAAAAAAGAAATAATGAACATCTAAAATTTTATATTGATGCACGCTCATTCAAATCCGATTCTCAATTGCGGTGTTTGTATTCGAATAAGTTTTGACATCTTATGCGTTATTTATGTATGTTATATTTTAAAGCAAAACTCAGCAAAATTCCATATTCAACATGTATGCGTATTAATTAAGTTCGTTTCTCTCCCTTGTTGTGCTCGGCGTCTTTATGAATAATAAATTCGATGGCATTTAATGGCTCTCACGGATGATGACTTTATCCGTATCCGTGGCGGGTAAGATGTACTTTTTAACCGTGTACATCAAATTATGCTTACGGAATTGCACGTCCGTTGTATCTGTATCCATAAAAAATCTTAACATATCCGTCAGTATTTCTACTTTCACGGATAAAATAAATAGTTATCCGTATTCGTATCCGTCAAAGTATGTGAATATAGCAAAATTTGCTTATAATAGATTCGTACATGTGTCACAGTTAAGATAAATATTTGGCATTTCTGCGAAAATGCATTTTTTCCAGATTTTCAAAAAATTCCCGCAAAATTGCAAAACAACCTAAAATTCAGCGAATTGAATAAGAACAATTTCAAAATGTTAATTATAAACCTAAAAAACAGTTTATATTGACTATAAATGTCAATCTTGTTGTTGTTTTTCACATTTTTTAATTGCTCTCAAATATGTAAATTAAATTTGGTGACAATGTCTCAGCCACACAATGAATGATTTCTTTTCTTTTTCGCCGAATGAAATGCGAAGAGGAAGAGGCAAATTTGAACAAAAATAGCATAAAAAACTAAATGCAATGTATCAATTTAAAAAAAGCTGTTTTAAGTCTACATACAACCTTTCTAGGGGATATCCATGCGAATTAGAATTAGCACATTAGCAAAAAAATAGGGAAATTTACATGAAGAAAATAGCAAAATTAGCAATAAATAGCAGAATTAGCACTGTACACGTATATACTTTAGTAAGCATTTATTCTTGAATATATTGAAATAATTAATTAAAATAAAATTCACAAAACAAACGAATTGAATAGTGTTGAACTAAAATGTATCAAAATATGTAGTTAAATACGCTTTTTCTCATTTTTAAATAAAAATATATTCAATGGCACGTAACCAAGCACGTTTCATCTGTATTAACTACAATTTACGAATTGCAATCGGAAATGTAGATTTGATGACAGATTTCTTACTGAAAACGTATACGCTAGTGCCTGCTTCAAATATACACATTGAAAGTGTCAACTTGAAACATTTACGTAAACACATTTCAGTTATTACGTTGACGTACTAGAGAAATTAGCAAAAAATAGCAGTATTAGAACAAACTAGTAGAAATACTAGCAGAATTAGTGAAAACTAGAGAGAAATAGCGTTTATTATTATAAATTATTCGATCTGCAATTCACGGTTATCCCCTAGCAACCTTTTGACATTGTTCTTATTCAATTAAGGTTGTTTTGCAATTCATTATTGTGAATATTTTGGGTATTTAAATTTAAAATCATTTTTCCAGAAATACCAAATATTTATTGTACAACTGAGACCCATAGTTATAAACATAACAGTTATATTCACATATTTTCACAGATACGGATATTTATTTTATCCATGAAAGTAGAAGTAGTAACGGATGTATTATGATTTTTTTTATGAACATAGATCCAACTGATGAGCAATTCATCCATATCCACAAGCTTAATTTGATGTACACGGTTAAAATGTATAAAGACGGATAAAGTCATCATTGGTGGGAGTAATTACAGTGGGACCATTTAATTTATGTAGAAGTTTCACGGAATTTATAATAATTTTGATATAAATAGGTTCGTTAATAATTACTAGTCGTCGTCGTCGTCGTCGTCGAGCCATTGAATACGCATTGATAAAAAGCAGTAATTAAATTCCTTAAATCTTCTTTGAATACATAAATTAGTTGTGTGCTATCAAACACCGGTATTGGCTTGTGCATTCGTACATAAAGAGTTAAAGTTTTCTGCAAGCAGATACAGATATTCATAGTGATAGCATTAAGTGTGCTAATGCGATGATTTATTAGTGGAGAGTCTTTTCACAGAAACTTTTGAGAAATTATTTTGCATGTAGAATTTATGCATCGCTGTCGTTCATCCATTTTGGCGCGCGTGACAACTCATACCCCTCTGTAACAGTTCTACTGCTCTGCATATACGTGAATCGATACATTTACGCATACACTCACAGCACTGAAAGTGTACGACAAGCAACGACTTGTAATTAAATACCAAATGTTTACACAAATACAATGAAGAATATAATCAGCAATTTGTACGAGTATGCATGAGAGTATCTATAGCAGTAATGAGATGCCGTTATTAGTATTACATTTCTTTTGTGACGAGCGTTCAACTGAGTGTCTGCTTTGAATACATAGATTTGCAAATGGTGTGAAGAAAATCAGTGGAACAGTTCTACTTAATCGATTGACAGTCGTATTGTCCTTCAGTCAAACCGCACACTGGACAAACGAACATACACAGTAAACTAAACTGCGTCGTAACAACCATATTATTTTCAAAAGATTTTTGATTCTCAGTGTTTTCCATTTAATTCAATTGAATTTCAACACGATTTCACGTAATTTTCTTTTTTGTTGTAATATTTTAATTTTGATTATCAAAAGAGACAAAAAAAAAAGATTTGCACAAAATTCGGTCAGTAACAGTCGGCATTATTAATTCAACTGTCAAAAACCAGCAAATTTTTCTAACCATAAGAATCAAGATTCTATAGAATACGCATTCAAATGAAATAAATCATTTGATTCGATTTGGCTGTGCATCATTTTTTATTTTGATTTGAAATCCAAAATTGACGACTACAAAAAAAAAACATATTATTTTGAATCTAATTGTATTTTGTTTTTGCTTATTAATATTTCAGATAATTGCATTGTGAAACAATTTCAAAATGGATTTCATTAAACAATTGAAGGTATTCGTTCGACCGGACAGCAAAGTATGCGTTGACAACAATATTTTTCGTATTTGCACAAAACTGACCTTCATGATTTTGGGAATAATGGTAGTATTGGTCAGTAGCAAGCAATTTTTTGGCGAACCCATTCATTGCATTGTTGATGAAATTCCCCAGAAGATCATTGATTCCTACTGTTGGTTTTACAGTACATATACGCTATCTAATCGAATGATAGGAATAAGCGGTCGGGACATGTTGCAGCCAGGCGTATCAAGTGATTCGGCGGGATTTAACGACACTGTCAAATACCACAGTTACTATCAATGGGTTTGTTTCACGCTGTTGTTCCAAGCATTTTGCAGTTACTTGCCTTACTACATCTGGAAATCATTCGAAAATGGCCGTATCAAAGCGTTAAGTGAAGAGCTTAAGCAACCATTCCTCGAAGACGAGGCAAAAACAAAGCGCAAAGCGGCTCTGATCTTCTACGTCAAAGAGAACTTAAACAATCATTCATATTATGCGTATCGCTTTTACCTTTGCGAACTATTGAACTGTGCTATTGCCATTGGACAGATCTATTTGACGAATTTATTTTTGGGCGGCGCATTTTTAAACTATGGCATTGATGTGATGCGTCAAGACGCAGCGGAACCGATGACACGAATTTTTCCAAAAATGACCAAATGCGTTTTCCATAAGTATGGGCCGTCGGGTAGCGTTCAAAAATTCGATGGTTTATGCGTGCTGCCAGTCAATGTGTTGAATGAGAAAATTTACCTATTCTTATGGTTTTGGTTTTTCTTCATCAGTGTTCTGTCCATCCTTGCAGTAGTGTATCGAGCATTGATTTGCAGTTTGCCTAAACTGCGGTATAAACTACTTCGAACACGTGCACGGTTGGCATCACCACGTGACATCCAATACATTTTGATACGCTTCAACGTTGGTGATTGGTTCATGCTCTATCAACTCAGTAAGAATATCGATGCATTGACGTTCAAAGAAATTTGCCGTGAACTTTCGACCGAATTATACAGCAATAACTTTACTTTGAAATAAAAGTCAATTATTTATTATTATTTAAATAACATTTATAGCTTTGTACGACAAAAGTTTTATTTTTAGACAATTAAATAAAGTTGCAAAATATTTGATATGACAACGTGTCATCAAATTGAATAGATTTTTTACTTATTTGAAATAGTACTTTCATGGGAATATTGATACATTTCACAGGTTTGAGACGATATGCGAAGCATAATTTGAATTATATAATCAAGGTGAATCAAGTTCTTCTTCTTAGTATGAACAACTTTATTCCAAACAAAACTGTTTATGCAAAACAATCGCCTGTTATTATTGGATAAATGGCACATCGAACAATTCTGATTTATATATATATATATTAGTTTTAATAAATAAAAAAGATGTGAAACTGAATTATTGCTATGACTCCGAATTAATGAACTGGACATACCAATAATTGTCTCTACAGGGTTATTGATAATTGAAATCGATGAAAAATATATTGCAATTTATTCGAAACATATTATTCTCTGGCTTTCATAAGAAACAGTCAAAAGTCTAGAATTACTAACTAAGATTACGGTATTAATTTCTTATTTTACTTTCAAAATATGGCAAAAGGAGTAAAAATGAACGTGTCAACATCAAGAATTTCAAAATAAGCTTACTTTTCTGCATTTAATTGAATGACATATCGTCAGTTGATGACGAGCACAAGTTACACAGTTTGCTGATGCCGAAAAAAGAGTCAAGTATAAATAACGAGTATAAATATTTAACAGGGTTCGCAAATCCGACCGAGGTCCGACCGCCGACCGACCGCCGATCCGATCCGAACCGAAAATACTCGGAGTTCGGTCGGCGTCGGAACGAGTTTTCCATCGGATTTTTTTTCGGAATTCGGTTTTCGGATATTGATCGGATGCTCACAAAATTAAAACCAATATTTTTTTTAAATTGAATTAATTTTTCTTTTGTACCCATTTTTATTAATCGTCAATTTATCTCATTCATTCGTTTTTAAAAATTTAGATCATTTTAAATTTCTATTCAAAAATAACAATTGTTCGATGTGCGCTGTATTAACCATTTGGTAAATATAAAAAAAAATTATTTTCATTAAATTTTTCCGAACTCCGAGCACCGACCACGACCGACCACCGATCCGATCCGATCCGAGATATTCGGAGATCGGTCGGCCTCGGATTGAATATCCTCGGCGTCGGATCGGCGTCGGAATCGAAAAATGGCCGCCGTTGAGAACGCTGATATTTAATCGATTGTTGATCGTACATCAGTTATATCACATACACCGAACAGACGAAACACACAGTAGCGAGAGAGATTGAGAACTTTTATTTATTCAAATTATACTTCGATTTATTCGTGATTTGCTATAAATGTAAGTTTATTTCCAATTTCTTTTACTTTCATCTATAAAATTTACTAAGGTTCATATAAAACAGTTGCCATCGGAGAAACATAGAAATATAAAGGTAGTAATTATTCCGTAATTTTCAGATCGATTTACATCGCAATGGATTTTATTGGTCACTTGAGACGTTTTATTCACCCGAATAAAATATGCATCGCTAATAATATTTTTGATTTGAGCACAAAAGCAACACTGGTCATCTTCGCCGCACTCTCAACGTTGTTGACATCTTATCAATATCTTGGCGCTCCAATTCTTTGTGTGGTCGATCGATTTCCGGTGAATGTGATGCAAACTTACTGTTGGTTCTATGGTACTTACACGCTACCAAATAGTTTATTGGGTGACATCGGTAAGCACATTATTGAACCGGGTGTTGCAAGCGAAGGTTCGGCGCCAATCAAGTACCACCGATATTATCAATGGGTTTGTTTGGCATTGTTTGGAAACGCGATTTTTAGTTATTTGCCACGATTTTTGTGGAAAACCGTTGAAAATGGCCGAATGAAAAAGTTGTGTGCGGATCTGAATAATCCAACGATTGGAATGGACAAGATCGGTGCCAAGAAAGTCGATGACAAAAAAGGCAGTGACAACAAGGAAGGTGAAAACAAGGAAGGTGAAAACAAGGAAGTTGACGAAAAGAAAGGCGATGACAAACCCGATGACAAAAAAGTTGATGGCAATAAGAGGGATAGTAAGAAGAAAGTTGGTATCAAAGAAAAGCGCTTATCGGGTATCACAACCTATTTTACCTTCTATTTGAATCGACACTCATCTTATGCGTATTACTTCTTTGGCTGCGAACTTTTAAACTTTGCCATTGCAATTGCACAGATTTATTTCACTCATTTATTCTTGGATGGTCAGTTTTTAAACTATGGCATTGATGTGATGCTCAATCAAAAGGTGAAACCAATGACACAAATTTTCCCAAAAGTTACCAAATGCTTTTTCCATAAGTATGGGCCCTCCGGTGGTATTCAAAAGTATGACGCACTCTGTGTGCTAGCAATTAACATTTTGAATGAGAAAATTTACTTATTTCTATGGTTTTGGTTTGTCGGAATCGTCTTTTTGTCCGGCATTGCGTTAGTTTATCGAGCATTTGTTTGTTGTTCGGCCAAAATTCGTCTGCATCTTCTCATTTCGTTTCGAGCACGGTTTGCACCACGCGACGACATTGAATACATTTTGCGTCATTTTGATGTGGCCGACTGGTTTGTATTGTACCAAATGAGCAAAAATATCGATTCAGTAATATTCGAAGAAATTTGTCATGAACTTAAACTAATGCTAGAGTCAGACAAGAAAAAAAGCTAAAGAATGACACCATTGCATGAGAGCAAATTTATATTTATTACGATTTTCAAGTATTATTATTTTGCCTCAAATGTATTAGTCTCAAATCACAGTTTAGTCGCTTGCTTTCACCCATATCATTATGTAATTTGGAAAATTCTTTAAGAAACCATCTTTATCTTACTACTTTCAATTGTTGCAAACAAAACATAGGACACGTTGATAAATTTAGAACAGAAAATAAAACAAGAAAATAAGGGCTTTTAATATATTCAGATATATATTATTATAAATCATGAAAAGTTCAATTTTTATTACATTCTATTAATTCTATACATTTAAATTTAGAAAATACAATTTTATTTGTTTCATTTTAAGAAAAACTGTTTATTCCATATTATCATTTTGAATTAAATAAAATACAACGATTACTTACTGAAACTGAATCTTCTTTATTTAAAATTGTTTATGTCCAAAACAGCTGCGATGGCATTTTAATAAACTCCAATATCAATACACGTCGAAAAAATGGTCTGAGGCATTAATCAATATATGCTCAATAAATCATTAAATTATTGTACCTTTGATGTTATCATGTATAAAATATTCAAGACGCATTTATAAATATGAAGAAAAAAGAAATTTTGTTGATTTGAAGTGTTTATGAAAAAAAAAATTGTCAGACGACAGAAATGAAAGAATATCCAGACAAACAATATTAAATAAATACAAGTGTGCACAATGCACATGTGTCGGCCGAAAACGAAAAAGGTCTAAAGAGAAATGAAAAATAAATCAATATGCGTGAATCAAAGGTTTTGTAAGCAAAATAAAAATTTCTTTCAAAAAGTAGTTGCGTTTACATTTTGGCACAAAGATTTGAGAAACTCAGAAAATTGCCATCATTTATCTTCATAAAAAAAACAAAGTTCATTCTAGCCACCCATCAAGGCATTGAACTACATATACTATATAAACTTGTTATTCAACTGCAAAAAACTTGAAGATGTTTTGAATTTTAAGCAAACGCCATGTATCGAATTTGATAAGCTTACTCATAAGAGTTTTTTCGGAAAAAATTAGATTCCACAGTCAACAAACATCCATGAAATATAATTTGTGGACATCCAGTAGATATTCCTGTGTAAACAAAATCCGAGCACATATATTTATGCATTAGACGATATGCAAACAAAATTACAGTTGACTTAACTTTCTTTTGCAAGTGCTGAGCATTCTCACATACGATCACCATACTAATTTTTAATGTGCGAAACAAATGTCGGTCTGACCCTTGATTTTCTTAATATTTTTGCTTGGTTTTGTTGACACAACCAATTAGGGCGCATTTTTCAAAGGGATTTTTCCTTTCCGTAACTGAACGATGAAATCGTACGCATGGTTGATTTTCCTATCTTCGCCATAAGTAGCGTTCATGATGAAACACCTTCAGAGGTTGTTTGATTTATGCTCTCGACCGTACACACTTTCCTAATCACATCGAAGGCACATGGCCAATTTTAATTCCATAGGGGATTTTGTGATTTTAGTGCTATTTGCTTTTCATTACAAGTTTATTTCTTGATGGATGTCAGAATAACTTTAATGGATGGGAAGGAACTCAAGTATCAATAGTTTTGATTTAAAAGGGTAAAATCTGTTCAGTATTTGCTTTAAAATTGATTTAGTATGCCGAGGATTTTGATTTGAATCAATGAACTTTTTCTTTGGGATATATAAGGACAGTGAACTGTGTTTCCGACTAAAAGTTTATAATCAAAATTAAATCACATAGTCCCGGACTTGAAATATGAATTTGAACAACATTTTAAAATTGAATTTTCTTAACAACTTTAAATTGCCAACCAACTAACCGAATATGTGTACGCTGTACGTATTCAGTTAGCCTCTTTGAAAAATAAAACATGAAGCAAAAATACAGTTCAGTAAGTAAGAAAACTTTCCACATGGTATTAAAATATCACATCAATGTTTTATCGTGATTTTCATTGAATTTTTCAATTAGTGATGCGTTTCTCAAATGCCATTTTCGCTGTGAAAAACGGTAATTTGTCGTACTTCAATGGAAATAAAAGCATGTTTAAAGTACACACAAACGGTCGGTCTGTTTGTCATCTTGATTGGCGTTTAGTGGTTTTGTTGTGTTGAATGCCTTCAAAACGGCGACACTCACATTCGAAACACTCCTAGATTTCTAGGTTTAAAGTGTCGATATGCTTCAGAGCATAATGAGTGCCGAGATGAATAGAGTACTATTTCGAAATCAATTGGTATTTCAGGTTGACACATTTGGGTCACTTGTAATGGATTTAGCAAACTGTTGTATAGAGCGTTGGTTTTAATTAATGTGCCGATTGCAGTCTATTCAGGGTGGGATAACACGCAACGTTTGATGTATGTTCCATAAATTCACAATTTGTGAACTGTTTGAACAGAGCTCCGCAGTGGTTGAATCTGACGCAAGAAATACATACACACACAGTGCCGCCACCCAATTTACTAATGCATTCAATTAATCAATGCACCTGAACTGACTATGACTCGAATTGCAATGACATTATCCCCGGTTCTGTGTATAATTTCGGTTTGATCATAAAGCTATTGGGCAAATGAAATTGATACCTCAATTTTAAACAGTGTGCGTGTGTAGTATTTCTCCACAGTGATTTACGATTATGACGCGCTAGAGACATTTACGAGCCTGTTTTTCGGAAAATTCAGACATTCCAACATTTGATTTCGATGCTGAACTTAAATTCCTTTCGATTTTATTCCGATTTCGTCAAGTATGTCCCACTCAGTATAGTACTATCTATAACTATATAGTGTGTTAGTTCATTTGCTTAAACCACTATAGAAGAAAAAAACGTGCCAAAATATAATTCATTTCGAACTAAATCCATGTTTCCCGAATATTTTGACTTAATTTATGTACTGTGGTCATTTTGACTTGTCAGAAGTGTAATTTATAGAAAATCTGGATTCAATTTTTTTTCGGCTGTTCAAGTGTCGCCAATCAAATAAATTAGCGCTTAAAATGCATCAGATGCACATGAATGCGCTTCAATCCCATGCAATTACGAGAAAAATTTAACAGCACTACTACTATCGCTGAGAGCGTGTCAACGCCATACTTTGACTTTCAAATGGGTATGTGCGTGTGTCTGTATGTGCACATTCCAAACATATGTGGTTAAAGAATATATCATACTCACTTGTTCACGTATACATATTATTCTCTTCATGTGCTCATAATAATTTAACGCACTACATATTTTCCGTTTTTTTTTGTATGTTTTTGTTTTGTCTACCATCAAATGAAATGACGCTCGCAATTACGTGACACACATTTTACCATCACGATTGGGATTTCGGATCGATTGTAATAAATTTACGCCTGTGTGTGTTGAGGCTGAGAGCAACATGAAATAAATGTGGCTATAAAAATTTTGGGGTTTTTTATTACTTTGACTCATTCGTCACTTTTGCATCCATTCTGTGCGGCCACTTCATGTGCCATAACCATTCGAACTTTGTTCCGATAAATTTGTCATTGAGTGTCATCATTTTATGGAAAATTTTCAAATTATCTCAAGTGAGAAAGTCGTTGAATGAAAACCGAAAAATACAACGAACGCAAGTATGAAAATGAAAAGAAAGAGATAATTTTTCTTTATTGTATATATAGTATTCTTTCAATATTTAACCTTAAGGTTCCAGACACTTATAAATAATCCCAAAATAACTTTTTATGTATACAAAAAATCGATGATATCTGACATTGTCATTGATTTTTTAAATGACATCAAAATATTTGTCCAATTCGTGATTCATGACAAATTGAATTTCTGTCTTAATTCGTATGGAGCACGTGTTGGCGGTGCTGATTTTTATTTTTCTATGTGTATATATACGCAACACAGTTTACAACTCACTCACTAAAGCAAAAGTATTTAGGAATTTCTCTAGTGCTTTATGCGGTACGAAATTAGTCAATCTGAAGCATCGAATCAAGCAAGGCATATTTTTGAAATTACATGTTTGATAAGTGCAGCCGTGAGCCAAACTCAAGTGAAAAGGCCGAATTTACGGTATAGTGCAAAGTACATTTGCAAGTTTTGCATTGGTTGGCATTATCAAAGTATAAACCGTCAGTCAAACAAGACCATTACATGTACCAAATGTGGCAAAACTCTTTTTCCACATAGAGAAGTAAGTGTCGCTTTGATTTAGTTTTATTTTTAATTAGAATTGGAACTAAATTTTGTATAATTTTTGTATACCATTTTTTTATTTGAAAATGTCTAAATTTTTGATTTTCTTAATTTGTATATCAATTTCAGTTCTGCTTCGATGATTATCTTCATTTTTATGATGACGCAAACTGATTGGTTGGGCTATGCGAATTCTATACAATGTTTCACTAAAAACTATGATCATAAATCTTTTTTACATACTTTTGCGTGTGTTTTTTTTTCATTTATCATTACAATTCATAAAATGTTTAAAGTAAAGAAATTTCTGTCAAATCAAAAATTTATCAATAAATAAATCTGAACTATAGTAATTATTCAGTCTATTCAACTAAGAAGAAGTTTTCTTTTTCATTTTAAAATGTGTTGACAAGTTTATGTTTGCTCATTTAGTTTTCCTGAATTTGAATCAATGTCTCTTGCAGTAAACGAATTGTCCAATTTAAACGAGATTTTTGGAGCTGGACCATAAAATATGTCGCCTTGATCGTTGGTTAACATATCGACATGATTGTGCACAGACGATATAATTGCTTCACTTTCGTGATGATCGTTTTGATTTAGCTCTTTGTTAGAATCGGCGGCAGTACCGGACGCAGCCGATTTTCGATTTCCTCTCGATCCAGCTGTCATCACCATTACCTATAAAATATCACTTGAAATATCATCGTAAATTTGAACATTATGTACTTTGTCAAACCGTCGGATTCATCGATGTCATTTGTTCCTTCAAACAGGATTGCAGCATTTGAATGAAGAATAAAAATGCCAACAATGTTAAGCCGGACATTGCTAATGAAGAATTTTTACTTTTATGACCACCACCACCACTGCCAACTGTTGAATAAACGTGCTGATGATAAGTTGCTTGACCATATCTGCCGTTGCTTAAAATAAATGTGGACGTTTGATAGAATTCGTATATAGAGTTCGTGAAAAATAAATTACCCATAATTATTGGGTGTATGTTCCCTTTTGGTTTGAAGAGGCAGTCAAAAATCCATTTTTAAATAAAAAAGAAAACAAAACAGTTAGTCACTATTCAATAAATTTCCATTCACGTATTAGGTGTATTTTATTCAATTAAATATCGCGTTAAATTAAAAATGAGCTCTAATCAATTTACTTTCTTTTAGATCTTTCACAATCTTATGCTTCGGAATTTCAGTATTGTTCATTGCTTTTTAAATTAATCGTATTTAAGTGTCCATTGCCATGTTTATTGCATTTAATTAATCTCAGTATTACCTGATGTTCATTCGTGCGTACGCGATTCGACCTTCTGATACTAACGAGCGCTAAACGAACTTTGCTTGGACTAGGACTTTTTTTCTGTCTTGTTTGCAAATAAAATTTTGCTCTTAGAAAAACACGAGATAAATTACAAAGATAAACAGTATGATGAAAGATCTAATCAATTAAATTCAAAATGGGCCGAAATTAACGATTAAACCGTCACAAAAGGGAAAATTCACAAGATTTATGGTTGAAACATGACGTAAATTAAATGAAATCACTTGCTTAACTCGCTGCGACTTACGTTTCATAGCTTGGTTGATATGGATACATATTTCCAGGTACAGGAGATTCGTACGGGTTTTGTGCCGGATAACTTTGTGAATCAAAGAAACGATCTCGTATATTACTTAAAAAATTCCTAGATGCATCACCGTTGTCTGAGCTACGATGATTCGAATGCATTTTTAATTAATTGAGCGAGTAAGTAAAATACAAAAAGTAACTATCGCAAAGCAAATGTATCAAATTTTGGGGAAAAAAACCACTGGCAAAACGATTTTGATAGAAGTTGAAACAAAAACCACTTGATCTAACTGAAAGATGTCTCGAAAAGTGTTTAAGCCCGTCGGACGAAAGAACTAAACTAAACCGAAAGTATGTGCCACGAATGGTGTTACACCGATAGAGTTTATAATTCAGTTGTCGCAAACAATGCGTTACAAAATTTCTCGTAAAAGACGTTACACGCTCAATGCACACAGCCATCTCGTTCGGTTTTGTCTAATATGTAAACATGCATGTGATGGCTATAAAAAAGCGTACATGTTTTTTTCGCCTACTTTTCATTAAGGCAAAATAAAAAAAGACTAATTTTATAGAATCGCAATAATAAAGATGCACAATAACAAACCAAAAACCAGCTACTAGTATTTTCAAGAATGAGTAATGCTTTAAAATATCTTTGGCGAAAGTTTCTCATCTGAATCGAATGAAACATATATACGAGTTTTGCCATCTAATTCAAACGTCTTGTGTGCACCAAGCGAAGCGTGTTGGTGTTTAATTTCAGCAACCATTCGCATATTATCTCCATCACAAGCAGCTTTAACCTGAATTATTGTTGAATTTCTTTGGCAAAAAGAGGAATATGACTGTTTATAGCCATGTTTGGAGTGTTTTCGAAGCTCAGAAACAAATTGTAAAAAAGGCACATACACACAATGTTAAGAATATAGTCGGTTTATCGAAAGCGCAAGGAAAAACCCGAAACTGTAGACCAAACTAACACTGAACATTGAACACGCTGTTTTCACTCTTCCATACACGGGAGTTTGGTCCAAGAGTGAAAACTTTTCGTATATATTTTGCATTAGGAAAAGCAATTAATCACCATGTAACTCCGAACCGGGAGAAAATTCTATTTATCACATGTTTTCGTTATTTTTCTTCTTTCCGCACTGTTTCCGTCGACAACATTTGTTGTTGTGTTGGATGCTGAAAATTTGCTATCGTAAATTTAATTTCGTCGAATAAATATTTCCATTTTGGTAAGAAAACAAAATAGAAAAAAGAAGAGACGCGAACGAATACAAACCGAGAACTGGTTGTTTTGTCAGCGAGACAGTTTTTTTGTTGTTGTGAAGGGGTACTCTCTTTCTTCCCATTCTTTTGCCGTATTTCTTGTCGGCTCTGAGGTGCGAAAATCAAATGGTGATGCGGTACTTCATTTTTGCTTGCTTTGTTCCATTATTCTGTTCATTAACGCCCGTCGTTATGTTTACAACACTGACATTGCCTTTTAATTTGGCTTTCTTTTATTCATATGCCGCGTATTTTAAGTGCACTTTTGCAGCTAACAAACCCAAGTGCTTTGTCACATCTTGTTTGAAAAGTGATTCGCATACTGTTCAAAGCGTGCCCGCGCAACACAATGTATGACAGTCTTCCAGTTTTTTTTTCTTCCAAAATAGAAAAAAAGAAACAAACAAAAATGATTTATGTAATTAGTGAAAATGAAAGATGCGGCCAAAATACTTAGCGGCATAGTAATTTTATGAATAGATAATTGCGAATCAACCATTTTTTACTGGCGATATAATTTTGATATGAATACGGCGAAAATCTGGGGGACGGACACAAAATCTAGTAAAATCTAGTTTCATAGTTTACTGCTAATTTTGCTGATATTTTTCTAATATTAATAAAAAAATCTACTATTATAACTATACAGACATACTAATATTGCTAATATTGCTTATATTAGTTCACTGGTATAAACGTCAAACGTCAAATAGCTGATCTCAAAGTGAAATCTTGTATGAATTTTTCATAAATTCTTAGATGAACATTTAACATTGTTTTTATTTTTCCTGGTTAAGAAAAAATAAAATTTATTTCTATTAAATACTAAAACACTTAAAGTAACAAAAAAAGTTTTCGGTGAGCAACTAACAAGCAATGGTGAAGCAAAACAAACTAATTTTTGCTAATATTTTGCTAATATTCTAATATTTATAATGGTGTCCGTCCCCTAGGCGAAAATTGTTTACAAACTTCAAAATTGTAATACCGCATCACCATTTGATTTTCGCACCTCAGAGCCGTTTCGAGTCATTGGTATTTGACTACAAAACATACGAAATACTATTTCCTAGGGGAAAATATCGAATAAAATAAGTTACGAATATGCTGCGTATAAGAATATAAACCGCATATACGGAAGAATATTTGCAAATAATATTTGCAAATAACTCCGTATATATGTGGTTTATACGCAAATATGCAGCGTATATGCGGCATACTTGCGATGTCTTCATCTATTTGTAGTATATTCAGTAAAAAATACTTGCGTATAAACCGTATAAACATATAGATAATTCCCCCTAGACTATTTCATAAGAACCACTTTTTTCACATTCAACATCTGTGTTGAGTCTTTTGTAAAAGAAAGATTTTATCGTTGTTGTTGTTTAGTTACTACTGTCTCAAAAAATAAACTCTGCAAAAAAATTTATAGGCGAGAAGATTGAAGGAACTCAGAATCTGAACGAATCAAAACCAAACGTCATCTCAAGGTTCAGAAACGCCACTTAACATGGCCATTTGAATACGGAATTTGTTGTCAACGCTACAAATTAAAGGGCGAGTTGAAAACACATTTAGAAAGGCATACAACAAAACAAAACCAACAATACTGCGATAACTGTTTCGGAGAATTCTTAGCACACACTCATTTCAAATGAATCATTTCCAGCACCACAAATCTTTAAATAAAATAAACACTTGTGAACGTTAGTATATTTTATCTATATGGGTTCATTCTGACCTGTGACATTTTGGTTTTTATCATTTGACTGTATGCGCAAAGCGCGTATATTGTGCGTGATGTGATTCAGTCGTTCACTGGCAATTGCCACGTTTACATAGCAAGACAGTCTCGTCGTACAAGTGAACCAAACAACCAAACTAAATATTCTACTATCATCATCATGTCTAGAGTGTGTCGAATTTGCAAATTGTGTAGAGTGTTCATGCATTGTCTGGAGCCAAGTAACGATCAAGCGAAAAATATTTTGAGTATGCTGGAATACATTGTAAGCACAAATGTGAGTAAAATAACAGAGATTGAAATCGAACAATTAAAATCAAGAAGATATTTCACAGGAATCGAATGCGTTGCCAAATTTCATATGTAATCCATGTTTGGATCATCTAAAATATATATATCATTTCAAGCGCAAATTAGCAGAAGCTCTATTGGTAATAAAACCGGAGAAGGTCAGTGATGTAAGTCAAGAAATCAAACCAAATTCCGAAGAAAAAAATGATCGACCACACGCGTGCTCAATTTGTGACAAAAAATTCAGAACAAAAGAAAATTTTGAATCGCATTACGAACGACACTCAACAAAACGTCGTCAATATAGCTGTAAAAACTGTCGCCTATGCTTTTTGGTTTTAAAACATTATTATGATCATGCTTGCAAATCACATTAAACAGAGGAAAAAACTACGCAGCAAATTCAAAGAGAGAAAAGAATTACAACTCCGTTTTGTAGCCATTGGATACATTTTTTTTCTTCATACATACCCATACTGATAAACATATAACATAGACATGTGCTGCAACCCGACTAAATACATTCACATTTATTGCGTGCCTATCATACAAGCATCACGCATACAAACACACCAACGTTTTGTTCAAGATTCAGTGACAGTTTGTTTTCACAAAGAAAATAACAATCGAGCGAATGGAAGGACTCTTAAATTTGACACTCATTTAAGACAAAATATCTGTAGAAGTGTTTAAAAATGTCAAAAATTTGTGAAATTTGTAAAGAGGCCGAAAGTGTGCCAGCACAGAAAGTGGACTTCACCAATATCGATGAAATGTTGGATGATATATTGAATGTAAGTGTTTTTAGTGTCGACGAATAGTATTAAAATATCATTATGATAAAATCTTACAATATTCACAGAATGCGACCCGTTCAACGATACAAAATATTTGTGAGATATGTATTGGCAATTTGGTTTCTGCATGTCAATTCAAAAATCGATATCAACGGTCGATCGATGCATTTCTACCGGAAACCAAACCAAATGACTCAAACTCAAGAGCGGCTAACATCGAGAATTTCAAACCGAATGGTGAAAATCGACAATTTGAAATTATCACAATCACACAAGAAACGGATACTCATCGGCCTTTTACTTGTGATCGATGCCAAAAATCATTCCTGAAACAAGGCCTTTTCAAACAACATTGCCAGCGACATTTGAACAAACGCAATCAAAAGATTTGTAAAAAATGTAATTCGAAATTTTTGACATCTACGAGTTTTAAGAAACATTCATGTAAATGAGAACATTGGACGCTACTTTTCATTTGTTAAGACGCACACACATACATACTCAATTCCTGCAATAAATATATTTCATTCTGAAAATTGACATTTGCATATGAGAAACATAAAGAATAAACACTTTATATACAGAACAAAGAAAAAACCGTTAAGTTATCATTTCTCAGATTCAATGGTGCAGCTCAACACATGTTTACGAAAGCAAAATTGAATGTAATGATGTAAGTGTGATGTTTTTCTTATGGCTGTAAGCGTGTATCTTCTTTGTCGTTGTTTCAGTGTCGCTGCTTGCACAGTGTATAAAATGCACATGACGTTGACAGTTCCAAATCCATTCCAAACCTAACCGTCATTCGTGTTACAAGCACAAATTCAAAAGAATCACCAATTTTCCGCACAAATGTAAAAAATGTCTTCGAAAATGTGTTGTGTTTGCCATCAAAACCGCGGTGACTTGATTAATTTGGAATTTAAAGACGAGGCTGAATCCATTTTGACAAAATTGAAAGAATTCATTGATTTAACTGTAAGTTAAACTTATTTGTTAGCTAGTTGTTTACCGGTGTAAATAGTATTGGACTGTTGGTGTTTTTAACGAACTATTTTTCTTTTCGTTTAAATTGTGTAGATAATGAAAAAGGATCCAAATATCGAGTATATTTGCTATCCATGCAGCCTCGAGCTAGACGAAGCATTTAATTTCACACAAAATTGCAAAAAATCAATGTCTGTACACACGATACAGAAACCGGATTTCAAATGTGGCGAATGCTTCATGAAATTCAAAAACCTCAAAGATTTGGATCTACACAATACCAGCCATCAATCAATTAATGTTAGAGATGATGATGACGATGACCCAGAGGATTTCTCGTATGCAGCAGGAACTGCAAATCCAAGTCAAATATCACAAAAAATGCCTACAACGGGATACAGCAACAAATTCAAAATTCCGCTGGTCAGTTCAGCAGGTCAAAACGAGCCGACAACGAGCTACATTTGCCGAATTTGCAAGCAAACATTTCAAAAACAATGTGGACTATCGATGCATGCCAAGTGGCACAACATAAAAAAAGAACAATTCAAATGTGAACACTGCAGCTGTGTTTTCCTGAGAAAAGAACAAATGAATAAACACATTCGAAAAGCACACCTTTAGCGCTTTTCAAATGTTTTATAATCTAAACGATCGATTTTTATAAACTTTTGCTTGAATTAAATTTAAGAAGAGGATTTTTTCAAAAAAAAAAAAATAAAGGAACTTTTTATCATTTTAAAATAAAGATATTTATTAAATGTATATTGCTTGGTGAAGTTTTGATTTTACCATTCTTAAATTTACAACACACTTCTTCATTAGTACAACATGGAAATGGGCAAGGTAAATTCTAGTTTTATGAAAGGAAATGTTTATTTTCCATCGAAATGAATGCATACACTCAATTTTGAAATGACAGTCAAATTGTAATAAATAACGATAATAAAAACGACATAGTGTTTATAATGTTAAAACAGACTTTTTTCTTTCAATCTTTATTTCCTTGACTGAAGTTTTCTCATTACAGTAAAATTTATTATATTTTTCAATGCCGTAATCACTTTTGTGGTTTTCAGTATATCAATAACTCGACTCAATGTAGATTACGATGCCGGTTTCAAAAATATAGATGAGCTGTCAGTTTGCACCTGTCATCACATTACACATTATCTTAGCTTACTATGTGGTTTGCTTTAAAGCAAAGTGAATTGAAGAAAAAACTCCAAAGTGGATTGAGGAAAAAAATTGTCGTAGTTTGTCATAATGCCAAGTTGTCGAGTGTGCCGCCGAAAAGAAAACTTTTTGATTTCAATGGATTTGGAAGATAAACGTGATAAAATTGCGTATATGCTTAGCAAATTCTTTGACCCAACTGTATGTGCATTTTTTTACGAATGAATTATAATTCACTATAGTGTTAATTGATATTACTTTTTTTTGTTATTTTTCCCGGATTTTTTTTTTATAGATTAAACGTCAAGTGAAGTCCATTTGTACGTCATGCTCCAGTCAATTAAAATTAACCTACAAATTCAAGGTATTCATATATTTAAATTATTTTTGCGAAATTTTTGACATATTTTCAAATTTGAAGAAAAAATGTGAAAAGTCAGCCGCTGAAACCATTCGAAAATACCGAAAGAAACAACAACGGACTTGCAATTCGACAACTGATGATGATTCCACTGTTGATGATGAAGAAGACGAAGAAGGAGAAGAGAAGCAGGGTTTCGAATCCAAACAACTGAAATGTCATGTTTGTGAACGAATTTTCAAATCACACCTCGGCCATGAACAGCACATTAATCGTCATCGCGCCAGAAAAGTTCAGTATCCGTGTCTTCGATGCAATTTGAAATTTTTGGCAGTCAGTCATCTCAAACAGCATACCAGCGAAAAGCATCAATTGATTTATGAATAAGCTAAATAATGACAATGGAATAGTCCAATTATAATCTCATTTCATTTCATTCATCATTAAAAGTTTTTGAAAATTGATTCGGGTCTTGTTCCGTATTTTATCTGTGATTTCGAGCATAAAAAACAGACTCATTAAAAATTAAATGCAAAATCTAAACGTACATTCAAAAACCACATCAAACCATAAAATTTTCAATCCTCTCTGTTCTCAAAAATATGGTATATTTGTAGTTTTGCCATTATCTGTTATGCATTATTTTTTACTGGAAGGTGACAAATACGACGAATTCAATAGCCATGCTATGCGTACGATTTATTCTCATTCAAAATCCGTGTCCAAGACAACAAATAGTTTCATTTCCGACAAACGTAATACCACTGTGGTATGCTTAATCAGATTTATGGACGTAAATTCGACTGCAATCAGTTAAAATCGTTTGGCCAATATCATTTTCTATGAGCAATGAGCATTCGATGATGGTGCCTAACAGCAATATACACATTACACATACTCACATTTAATTGTGACGGGCGTACGACTTCGAAGTCGGCCCAGTGAAGAGGGTTCTCGGCGGGAGAAAATGGACAAAAAACAATTAATCGTTTATACGGTGGATGGAAAATGGAGCAAATGATCGGTTAATTTAACTAGCACGTGATGCTAGACTTGGATTATACATTTGGCGTGAATACGAGTACTCGTATGTTGTTTGCACACGCACAAAAGGTTTTGAGTTTCCAAAACTGAATGCGATGCGTGTATTTTATAAAAGATAGAAAAATGGATGATTATATGCGGTTGATGGAGACGTTCGGTGCAATACCATGCATACATATTTAATGCAATTCTGCTGCAATAATGGTTTCGGTTTTTCGACATCGATTCGCCGCAAGGGATATTTATCATTGGCCATCCAACAGACGTACAAACACCACTACCACCATCACCACCATAAAACTTCATCATCATTATCACAAAGGAGACTGCATCTCACTCTCTCTGTAAATGATGCGACGCAAATTACGTTCATTCAATCCATATCCTCATTCGAATATGTATACGCGCAAATCGATACTGTTTGGAATGAATCAAAGCCAAAGATAATTCCATTGCTCTTTTGATTTATGTGGAGATAATAATGTAATGATGATCACATACATATATGTGGCTATTTTGTCGCAATGTAACAAGATGAACATGAACATTCTACGGCAAATATCGTAAATCAGTGTACTGATGCTCATTGCTCACTCAATGAAATATACAATTGAGCGGATAATTTGCATCATCACGGTTTCCGATTGTTGCAACAAAACATTCCGGTTTATCAAAATAACCACAAATTATGTCTTTCGGTTTCTACCTCGTTCCAAAAAAGTTTTCTAAAATATTCAAGATACGTTCTTGTTTTACCATTGGAATTGTTTTCCAAATTAAATTTATATTTAACAAAATCGTCATTCTTGCAAATTATGCAATCAATTTTGTTTGTCTTGAACGCAAATCTTATCAAATTAAGACTTTAGCTGCATGGCTGAAAACCGCTATGCTTTTTAATGTTCCAATAAGTTTTGCCGATGTTTTTTTAGCTAAAATCTCACGAATGCAGCCTGTACGAATATCAAATACCACAAAGTTTTCAAGCGCGTAATGAATCTGCACGAATGACGTGCACAAACTTGCCAAAATGTTTACGATTTCAATTAAACATTCTCTGCTTAATTTCTAAACATTTTTGATAGATTCCTTCTAATATATATTTACAGTAATGAAACATCACCAGCATAACTGTTTTGGTTAGGGCCATATCGACAACTGTGTTGTACGGCTGAAGAATTTCGTTTATGCTCAATATTACATTACCTCATTTAGGATTCCAAAATGACAAACTCATTCTTCCCTGTAAATTATCTGATTAAAAAATTATTTCGTAAATAGTTTCTGAATGCTGAGAATTCAGAAAATTTACTGCGAGGACATAAACTCAAGCAAAAGCAAAGTTCAAAAATTGACTGAAGCTTGCTTATTCAGCATACAAATTCAGCATATCATATTGAAATGGAGACGGTTGAGTTATTTTGAACAAATTTCTATGAATTTTATTCTTTTAAAGAATCGCATACAAAATTTGCAATCAACAACTAAATAGAATATATTTCTAAAACTGGGTATCTAATTGTATGAATTTTTTTTGTCCTCATATGCGATCATTGTTCCTGTCCGCTATTGGATTCACTGCTCTTTTCACTCGACTGGTTGTCGTCGGATTTATTCGATAGATTATTTAAAGACTGTTCGAAATCAATCGGATCAATTTTGCGTTTTGCCGCTTCGTATTTCGGTGGTCCGATCAATTCAACCACTTGGTCATAGTTCAATGTTTCTTGTTTCAATAAGGCTTCAGCTAGTTTGACTAGTTTATCTCGATTGGTTTTCAGTATGTTTTCTGCACGAAAGTATGCCTCTTGAATGATTTGCCGTGACTCGAGATCAATTAAGTCTCCCAATGCTTTTGAATATGGTTTTTCATCGGTATAGCTCTGTTCCGGTTCGTCAGGGACATACATCGGGCCAATTTTCTTGCTCATTCCATACTTGGCTACCTGTAATCTCAACAACACATCATTTACTGTTTTTTTTTTTGAGAAAAAAATAGAGAACTTACCATTGCAAATGCCATTTTTGTAACTTTGTCCAAATCGTTTTGTGCGCCGGTTGTAATTTGATTGAATGTTATATTTTCTGCTGCACGTCCACCTAATGCCATACAAATTTTGTCGATTAACTGCTCTTTTGTGAATAATTTCTGATCATATGGCGTATATTGTGCGAAACCTAAAGCTAGATTTGTCCTTGGTACGATGGTCACTTTTTGCAAAACGTCTGAATGTTCTAATAGCCTAAAATGGAGTACATTGATTTCTATATGTGATGCTTCTCTTTTTAATACATTTTAAATATAATTAAAAATCAAAATAAATACCATCCAACTAAAGCATGACCGGATTCATGATAGGCAACCGTTTTTCTCTCGAGCTCGCTCAACGAGTGGGACCGTTTCTCCGTTCCACCTTTAACATAAAGAACAATATTTAGTATTTGACATTGAGTTTCATAGTGTGTTTGTGTCATTCCTTACCAACTGATCTTTCTACGGCATACTCCAAATCACTTTCATTCACAACTTCCTTGCAAAAACGGGCTGCATGCAGTGCCGCTTCATTACAAACTATCCGATTAAGAAAAAATATAATTGCAGGACATTTATTATGAATATTATTTGGAAATTATTATCAATTTACCATTTGCAATATCTGCTCCGCTAAAACCAGGTGTCAAAATGGCCAATCTGTTAAATTAAAAAGTGGAAATTTTACTATTTAGTACATTTTTCATATTTGGCACACAATAGTTGTATGTTTGCATAATACCGTTGTGAATATGCTGTGGCCTCTTTTTCCAATTTAACGCCACTCAAGTGTGTTTCGAAAATTTCCTTTCGCTCAGCCAGTGTTGGTAAATCAATTGTAATATGTCGATCGAATCTTCCTGGCCGTAGCAATGCCTGTTCAAATAAGAGAATATTAATTTTTAGGTTATGTTTACATTTGGTCTTTTCTGTGTTTTACCTTGTCCAAGACATCAGCTCGATTTGTACTGGCCAACATAAGAATTCCCTCTTTTGATGCCATACCATCCATTTCAACGAGCAATTGATTAAGAGTTTGCTCTGATTCACCAGTTGATTGTGAAGCTAAATTTTCCGAATAAAATTCATATTAAAAATCACATATTTGTCATCAACACTTGCTATTGATAACGAAATCGCTCACTTGTATTTGAACGTTGACGACCGATTGCATCAATCTCATCGATGTATATAATGCATGGTGCCTTCGATTTCGCCGTTTTAAATAGATCTCTCACACGTGCCGCTCCCAGCCCGCCTATCATTTCAATGAATTCCGAACCGTTCATTGTGAGAAAGGGGACTTTGGACTCAGTGGCAACAGCTTTCGCGAGCAATGTCTTACCACAACCAGGTGGACCCAAGAGTAGAGCTCCTTTAGGTACTTTAGCTCCGAGTGCTTGATATTTTTGTGGTCGTTTCAAATAGTCAACAAACTCAATAACTTCAACTTTTGCTTCCTGCAAACCGGCTACGTCTTTGAAATAGACACCTTTTCCGCCGCTGGACGGATTGATAATTGTTACTTTCGCCTTTCCCATGCCAAACTGAAGAAAAAATTCACATATTTACACCTATTTGTTTGTCAAAAAAAAATCAACATTTTGTCTCGGTACTTACAGGACCACCACTTCCACCCGGTAATGACGAGAATTTAACTCGCTTTAAAATGGCGTACAGCACAGCACATGCGATAAGTCCAGCAAATAGTTTAACATACAATTCGGAAAATCGTTCGTATCGAATTGAAACACCTTCTGCAATGCCCATTGATTTCTCAACTTCTCGTAATCTTTGCTCGAAATGTTCTACATTCGGTACGGTGAGCATATAAGAATTGAATCGTGATCGACGACCGTTAATGATTGCTCCGTCATATAGTACGACACGCACATACTCATATTGTGGCCGAACGATAATTTCCTTCACTTCGCCCGACGCCAGCATATATTGGATAAATTCTTTCCACGAGATCATGTAGTTTTCAGTAGCACCGCCATTCCCCCTCTGTGTATCACCTCTGAGGATAGACGTCACGACCAAAATGGTAAATCCAATGCTGTAAATCAAGGCCAACCATAAAATTGTTTTGGTTCCGAATGCCAAGGCTTTGTTTAAATTATTTTCTCTATTTTTTTCGTCAATTTTCTTCTTTATCTTTGCATCTTTTTTTCTTTTATCGCCATCGTCTTGACTTTGTTTATTACTTTGTTTATTACTTTGTTCACTCGATTTGTTTTCTTCACTTTGATTATTACTATTGCTTGGCTCATTGGTTTGCTTTTGTTTTTCGAACATGCAAATCGACGCACTCAAATTTCTTGCAATAACATGATTTGGTATTGAATTAATAGCAGACCGATTCAAAAGTTTATTCACCGCTAACAACTCTTCTCTGATTGCTTTCGCCTGAAATGAAATGTATGATTAGTTGTACGTCAACGATGTTATGCCAACACCAGGATTTACCTGTTTGGAACTCTGAACAATTTTAAATCTTTTTATTGTGCTAAAGTTTGCATTCGGTATTTGATTTGTACTTGGGTGTTGCTGTATATATCTGTTGATGTAATTTGACTTGAACAAGTAATTGGGTCTCCTCATTGACCACATTCTGTAACATTATGAGATAAAATGATGAAAGTTAATACTCAATTGTGAAATGTATCACGATAAAACATACTTAACGATAGTTGACGTCTATGTTGGCTTCAAATTGTAAACAGAATACGGTGAGTTTTGCGCATTTCATTAAGTTTTCTCGGTGATTTTGCACAAGTTCAGTCGATCGAATCACAATTTTGCGACTAATTTGCTGATTATTTTCATCAAAATCACCGCAAATGTTAAGAAACGAGAATGACATAAAACATTGAAAGACAACTCATGACAATTCAATGTGATAAAAGAGAATGTCACTTTTGTTCGGTCTACCACCGACAGAGCTCAAATGTAAAAGTCAGTACTCAGTGGCGCTTTGGAGAAACTTTTTGTGGTGGAGGCGCCAAGAATTTTTAAAAAATATTAATAAAAGCATTTACAAGACTATTCTTCTATTAATTGCTTCACAATATCAAACTTTTCATTATTTTATTTCTGTTTATCTTGTAAAATAAATGAATTTTCAAGGAAAGATTAAGATGCTTGAGTAAATAATATCTAATTTAAGTTCACATGTTTAAAGAAAATAATAACTATCAACGTAAATTGCTTTGGTGCATGCTTTTTCTATTCCATTTTCAAAGGGGTTTTTTTTTGTTCATCACAATTGAAAGCAATGAAATCCACTTATAGTTTAACGAACACGTAAGCACAACTTGAATTGTTCGAAACTTTATCCGCATACTCGTTGACTTCTTTGGCAAAGTTCCAAACTATGTGTGCTCTCTTTGTGATAATTTTTGTTTGACTGGTTCTTAGAAACACACTCGCACACCAATAACAACAACAAAAAATCCATCATTAACTTAGAGGAACTTAACATACGAGAATGTGTTCGCATCTTTCAGTGGTTTAGTTTACTCAAAGTGATTAAATAAATGCGCTTCTTTTAATTTGTCTTAAGAAAAGTTATGCCTCCATATATGTATTATATACACGAATTGTTTTGTATGTCAAGTTTATTTCGAAGTGGAAATTACATTTGCAACTATACTGAAAGTGATACACAACAATGCATACTTATAAGTATAATTGACTATGTTTGAAGAAGAAAAAAATAAATCAACTAAAGAGAAAAACATTTATATCGATTTGATCTTTTGAAATTGAGGGAATTACCACATCAAATGCACATCAAAGCGATGAACAATGATAATAAGTGGCTTGCACGGCCTCTCTGTCTTCTTCGTGGGGCTCAGTTGTTGTGGCTTTATGCAGTTGTTTTATATTTCCGAACGGGTGGTTTGACTTCAATTTAACCGAATGTACGTTGCGGAAGCAAGTGTGTAATGGAAGATTGAAATAGGCGGCCAAAAGATATACGTATCGTTCTTGACAATTTGGCAGGTCGTTCATCAACATTTTATATACGCCATGTGAGAGTATTATCTGATGGCCCAAAATTATTGATGATGACATCGGCTACATACGCTTCCGTTATTTATTTTTTTATGTGTTTTCTACTACGTTCGTAAGAATAGACCATTCCTAATATCAACCACCTTAAATAATAACAGTCACCGGGTGTTGTCATTGAAAAAAAGGGGTCAAAACACCCGAATAAAATGTACGCAACAAAAAAATGTGACAACCAACAAAAGTATATCAAAACGCTTCCATCATTTCTCGGTTTGCTAAATTGTCGTTGCTAATTGAAATGAGCAAATTAATCACATAGTAACGTGTGAAGACTTTAAGCTGGTCTAATATTCAATTGCTATTGTTATCACAAAGACGTGACAAGGCAAAAACGAATATGACACGGAAAGCGGTGAATTTTTTTCCTATCTTTTGCGCACACATTTGTTTTTCTTCATTTACTTTTTGATAAATTAAAAATGAATGACCGAACACGTGATTCTTGCTTCTTTCGTGGTCTAAATGTAATGTGATGCTGAGAATTTCACTTTGGCCACTTGTTGAACTTGGCACTCTCTCTTATGACTTGACATGATCAATTGGAAAAGCAATATATATTCGAGGTTATGATTACATATCCTCGATTCTGCTGAAAGCCGAGAAAATTCCACAGACACACCATATTGCTAATGGTGTATACCTTTCAACGAGATATGTTGTTTTATACGATATTCATCTTGTGGTTGGTTATACAAGATTTGCACCTACTGCAACGAAGTGGCTATGTGGAATTTGTAAGACGAGAAAACATCACTCTGCAACGATGTACCTGCTATAATAATTTAACAGATGCTGATATAATATGCGAAAGGTGCTTGATTAACGACTTGAAAATGAGTACAATTTTGACGAAGGTTCTGAAAGTATGATTAGAAAATTATTATAGTATGAGGTAGAGAAATAAGAAGGAGGAAGTGATTTCTTTGCAAAATTATTCCTATCCTGATTTCATGTAAAAAACAATCATGAAGATTTTGTTTGCGTCATTTGTGTTATCTTACTCGATTTATAAAGTCCTTTACTAAGCGCTTAATCTAATTTTGCTATTCAAAATTGAAACTCAAGTCATCTTAAGACAACAAATCAAAACTTATCAAGTACTTTGAAGTGAAAGCAAAAGTTCGGTAATGCATCCAAATACTGCAACAAATTCAATCGTCATAAGAACCTCAGCCGTTTTGATGCAAATGATTTGATTTTGCAACTACTCGTTTTGAAATCAATAGAAAAGTCTTAAACTTTAATTCCGTCGAAAATTCCATCATCAGCCGATCAACTCAATGTGAAAAAAGGCGATTAAGAACTTACCAAGATAAGAGGATTTGTGAACGACATGATTCGAGACCTTTTCAAATATATAATAATCAGTTGGGAAATTCTTTGCAAGTTCTGGTACCATTTCAACATTTGTAAGTGAATCTTTTCACGAGAATAAAACACATTATCGTTGCATGCAACTGGAAGTGAACTTAATTATTATCAATTATATGCTGAAACAAGGCATATGAATTGAATGGGAGATTTTTGTGCAGAAAATGCTTACATTTAACACTCGAATGAATACCAACATCGCGTATGATATACGCAAACTATGTACGTATAAATTCGTTCTATTCAAATGCGATGAACCCGTTATGATGCAAAAACTTCCTCTTTTCATTTCAATGCATTGACAACTCGGTATAAATGTTTAACATTTTTCAAAGTTCTGCTTCAGCTTGCTAACGATGCCAAGTTTCGATTGCATCATTTCCTAACTAGTGTTCTGTCAAGTGTTGTTGCTCGACAACAAGTCACATTTGTAAATTAGATGTAAAAAGAAGTGTGCGCATAAGCTTTTATATGTGTTGATGTGAATGTCTGATAAAAGGTCTTAACAATAGTGATAATTAATTTTCTTACAGATAAATTGATGCTTGCACACGCGTATTCAGTGACGATAAAATTGATACTACAAAACTTTCCGCACAGCAATTCATTCCAATTAAAGTTCCATTTGCAATTCGAGAAATTTCAGTTGCCATATATGTTGAATGGGATGTTTTAATCATGACTGAAAACATTTAGAGAAAATTTCAAACTTTTCCCATTTTTGAAAAGATAAAAATGTGCGTTTGAATCAAAAAATATAAAGGTATGTTACTAACCCATAGAATGGTTGAAATGTGTGTAATAAACCATATTTCTTTAAGTTCAATATTATTATCATCTTTCAATTGCTTGGTGCAACAGTTCCACTACTAATAGCATGATTAACTAGCGATTTAACTTTAATTTTCTTTTAAACTGAAATGAATGAGAGAAATGATAATAATTACCCGCATTTTTTCTCTTTTGAAACCAGCTGAAGACAAAAACTTTCAGCAATTTTTTTTCGAATTAATATTCCAGCTCCTTCTATTCGGTTGAATAGTTTTCATAAATTCTTTTTTTGCAGCGGCTACAAATGGTTTTCGCTTTTGAACTATAATGCAACACTTGCAGCTTTATGAATTTTAAATGATGGTTTCGAACAAAAAAGAATCGAAGTGAAATAATGCGAGAAAAATCAACCAACAAATGATTCGGTTTGTGTTGCTTGCCAGTGCCTCATTAGTAGACTAACGAGTGGAAGCATGTTAGGATGGCTGTTAGCAACTAATATCAATCAGAAATTGAATTCCTTCCTTCAGAGTAATCATTAAAACTTGATAACTATTGTATGGTTGAATAGATTGTTGGAGGTAAAAATGGGTGTTATTTCCTTGAAAAATATACTTGAAGTAGGAAGAAAATGCTGTTAACACAAACGGTAATGCAAAAGATGATCAATCGATTTTTTTGTGCATTATTGTCGGATGTTGCGTCTTTTCTTCCGATTCATTGCTGTTGAATAAAATGTGGAATAAAAACAAGAAAACTGCTTCACTATTTACTATATGATTCAAGGATTATCTCTGTTTCTTACTCTTGCGTTTCTCCCGTGCGATTCAGTTTTAATCTGTATAACTTCATGACGTTCATTTGTTCAACTTCAATTGATGTTTTTAGTTCAAATGTGCGTCATTTCCTTTCAATTATCGCCAGTCTTAAGGAACAAATCCGATTTACTACAAAAACCCGTGTTAAAATTACAACTAAAAACGAATTTATTTTCGGATGTTTGTCCGAAGTTTTCACGAAAAGTTAAGGCAACGATTTTATCCTTTGGATGATGACGCACAAACTCTGAAAACTCATTTGACACCAAACTAATGTGATTAGAGATGGTAAAAGTCGGAAAGTTTAACTTTGAAAATTTGGTCCAAATGCACACCGAATGCTAGATTATCGAAGGTAATTCAATTAAAATTCAAATATTTTCGCTTCCGTCTTGAAACACATTCAAATGTTCTACTTGTGCATTGAGTGTTAAACAAATGTTGAATATTACATTATGCTTCAACGATTTCAGCATAACGACGGCCAAAATTCAACACACGAAAGAGCGAAGGTCGACCCATTCGGCAATTGTTCCTGAAATTTAAATGAGATGTGATATTTTCATATTTTAACGTGAATAGATGTATTATCATCATGGCATGTTGAAAAAGAGATGAGATATTAATTTTGATAGCGTTTTTCATCTAGCATTTTTTTTTCTTCTTTTTTGAACCTTTTTTTAAGCCACTTTCATGCTGAATCCCAAATGTCTTATTAAAAGTACAATCTGGATATGTTCAACGGTAAATCTGACGTAACTGATTTTAAGGAAAAGATTTTGCACATTTTTGTGTATGAATCACAGAGATCACACGATGCACTGACATCTGATTGTGCATCAACATTT